CCCCCCAAAAACAAAATGGATTTTTGCAACACTCAAAAAGGATGAGTCGTGAGAAAAATAGTAGAAAGAGTCAAAAGGAATTTATATAGCCATACTTGGCTTCATAATAAACTTATGAAAGCAATATGAAAATTTAGCAGAACAGGCAGCTTAAGGCCGCTCACCCATAGGCAAAGCTACTTAAAAAGCTATCAAAATAGTCGATAATATCATAGAGAACAAGAAGAAAAGAAGAATTTTCGGGGAACGTCTGAAAATTGTCTGAAGAATGCTAGGCAGGATGGTGCCACTGAATGAACCAAAACGACACCCTTTAGTGATGGCCAGAAAGAGACAAGAGTAATGCACTCGCGCGAAGAGAAGGAAAAAATTTAGGGCAGACAGATAGCATAACACCACTCGCTGGCAAGTAATAAACTCTAAAACCATGTGAAGAATAAGGAAGAGAAGAAAATGCTTATTGAATTGTTTCAATATACAAGAGGACTCTATATAGGAGTCATAATTTACATGAGATATGAGAAGTTTTATAGACCTTTGGTTTCTGATATTCTCCTTGCTTATAATATTTGGGTTTCTGACGTTCTCCTTTTTTATCATTTTCTTGGGATGTTCTAGGAGAAAGGTATGATAGATGAAAATGTTACGCATACAATCAAAATAGGATGGTTAAAATAGAGAAGTTCTACCGAGTGCTATGCGATAAGGATACCTACCAAAGTTATAGTAAAGTTCTATAGAACGGTTGAGAGACCATCAATTTAAATGGGAGTGAATGGTAGGCCTCTAAAGTCCGACCAGGGGCGGCCCTTCCATAAAGCAAGTAAAGCAACCGCTTTAGGCCCCATATTTGTGGGGGCCCCATTTTTTGTTACACCTAATAGACTATGTATAAGTTTAAAAAAGAGTTCTGTAAAGTGAAAAAGTTTGATTTCTTTCTTTAACAAATATAGAGAAGAAGGATTTGCAACTGCAATGATTTCTACCAAGGAAATTGCACTTGAAATGAATATTGAATCCGAATTTCGTAAGAAACGTATGATATATAGGAAGTAACAATTTGATGTGCAATGTTGATCATGAATCTGAAAATCTTTCGAAAAGTCCTTTAGAGTTGATTACTTTTACATATAACAGACAAGGCTATTTTTTCACTTCAAAATAGATTTAACAATTCGAAGCATATGAAAATATTTTTGGTTTTCTATTTAGTAGTAAAGACTAAGATCGCCAGATGTTGGAAATTTGAAAAAATATTGCCTTAATTGTGGATGTTCCTTAAAGCATAATAATCAATTTGATATTGATGGTTTAGATTTATTTTCTGAATTAAAAGTATTAAGGAAAATAGTACAATTAGAAGATAACAGTATAATTGATACACTTAATCAAATAAAAAGATTTAATTCTTTTTCAAATGCCTAAATTGCTTATGGAATAATGTTGATAACTCATGTTACCGTTACTTCAGCGGAAAGAAGCTTTCAAAATTAAAATTGATAAAATCTTACTTAAGAACAACAATGTCACAAGAAAGGTTAAATGGATTAGTTATATTGTCAATTGAAAAATACTTATTAGGAGTTATTGTTTGTAAGAGGATTCTTAATAACTTTGTATCTAATTAGAAAAGCTAAAAATAGATTTCCAATAAATAATTTAAAAAAATTAAAAATTTAAGGCCCCTCATAGTTTGGCTTTAGGCCACAAAATTGGTCGGGCCGCCCCTGAGTCCGACATATTCACAAGATGAATGTCGCAAAGATGCAGATGCTAATATGGATGTACAATTAAACAAAATTAATAAGATTAAAATGATCATATTCAACGTAGCACACATAGAGGATAAAACGAGAAAAGGTTAGTTGAGATGGTTCGCTCATGTCCTAAGTCGACCTCCAAATGCTTCAGACTATAGGTATGAAACCATTGTAAGTTAAAAGGGTTAAAAAGGGACGAGGTAGACCCAAAATCACATGGCAGAAAATTGTCTTGAAGGACCTACAATCTTTTGGAATCCCTGCAGGCCTAGTGAAAATTAAGGCACGATAAAAGAAAAATATTAATATAGGAGTAGGGCTGTCAAATTTGGCCCAAGCCCAAATGACCCGCCCAACCCGCCCAAGGTTGGGTTGGTTATTGACCCGCCCATTTATTGAACTTAGCCCATCTTGACCCGACCCATCTCAACCCATTTAAAGTTGGGCTAATTTTTAGCCCAAATTGATCCATGAGTAAGTTTGTCAAAATATCTTAGAAATAATTTTATTTTTTGTTTAATATTTTAAATATGACCATAACAAAAGCAAAAAAGCCTTATATAGTAATTATACAATTTATAAGAAAATAACACATATTAATTAAAGTTTAATAAGAGTTGGGCGGGTTGGGTTATGACCCGAATTTTAACCCATCTTGACCCAACCCATCTTAGCCCAAGTAACTTTTGGGCGGGTCAAATGACCCACCCAATTATTGACTCAACCCATTTTGACCCGCCCAAAATTGACCCAACCCGCCCATTTGACACCCCTATATAGGAGATACCAATTAGTTAGAATTAAATTTTAATAGTGTTAGTATGTTCACTTTAGATCCATTGTTTTCTAGGAGTCTTTAAGTCATGCTAGTAGAAAATATAGAGAACTTCTAGTGCTTTTTTATTTTATTTTATTTTTAGGTTTATCTTTACATAATATAGCAACGAAAAGAGCTAGGATCAACAAGAACACCAAGAATTCATATGGCCGACCCTCAATTGCTTGGGATTGAGGCTAGTTGTTATTGTTGCATTCCACCAATAACATAATCAGTAAGAATATTCTACAAAATACTTTAAAGATTCAATTGACTTATAACCATTTCCAAATGTTCAAAAATTAATCCGATTTATATACAGGTAGTTTAAAACCAAGTCCTAAATCAGCTATCAAAACAACAGTTGATTAATTTAATAAAAGAAGAGAGAGTGTGGCAGGTCGATGGCTAGCAAAAGATAAGCAAACTGTGATGATTCCTCAATGTATATAGAAAATTCATAAACTGATCCCAACTAATTTGGGATTGAGGTGCCATTGACTAAAAGAAGACAACTTTGTTTTTGCAGTTTGACTAAGATATGCTAACTCAGTTATGTAATCAAAATTTTGCAATCACCCAATTTTCTTCCCAACACCTTCAGACAAGCAACAAAGAAATGAAAACCTAAAACAAGTTCCAATGCTATATGAAGAAACCTTTGATTTCCCAAGTCAAACTCAGAAATGCGCAAATTCAAAAGAATTGGACACATTGACACAAACATGCGAAAATTCAACAAATAATTAAGGAAAATAATGTATAGGGAAATTTGAAAAGCTTACTGATAAACAAGAAAATGAGGGTGAATAATACAACTCCAAGTGCAGTATAAAGTTGAACAGGAGGTGTTTGATGGATGAATTCTTCAGCTTCATGTAACCATTGCTGCATTTGAATCTTCAATTGTTCCACTTTCTCTTTATCCATCTTCTTTTCAAAATTCTTCACTCGAATTTAATCTTACCCTAAGAAAGAACGAGATTTTTTCCATTAGATTACCAACAAAAAAAAAAAAAAAATTTACAGACAGAAAGAGGGAAAATTAAAACGGAATTGAAATTTTTATTGCCAGAGGAATATCTCAAGGATTACCGGAAACTCGATACCCACCGGCAATCCAGAGGGCCACCGATGCCTGAGGAGAGGAAGAGTGTAGCAAAGTAGTTAACTGAGACGGGTTTATCGATAGGAAATTGGGCTTTAGAATCTGCACAAGTTTTGGGCCTCAGCCCACCAATTTTTGCTAGTCGGAAATGTATTAGACCGAGTTCTTAATTTAGATTTTCTTTAACTTCAATTTATTAAATTCTGAGTATGATACGGAATTTAACCTCATATAGCAAAAGTATACACCCTGTTTATTAAAAATTAAAATTATTTTAAAATATTATTTTTTATAGCTACCTTTTATATTTTATAGCAAAATAGGTATTTATGATATATACTACCATTGAAGCGTGAAATACGTTACTTATGTTTTTCCTCTCTCTTTAGATTAACACACGATTCTCTCTCAAAAATTTTCATCTTTTTCTCTCTTTCTTCTCTCTCTATTCGAGAAAAATACATGCTTCTAATCGTGAATTCTCTGGCGGAATCCTCTAGGGTTATTGCACTTGAAAATACTTCTAAACTGTTGGGAGAAAGGGGAAAGACGGACGTTTTCTTCAAAATTGGATTCCTCCAAAGCAAGGAGGGGCTCGTCGCTCTGAGACTAGGGCCACTGCGCGGGGAGCAAAAACGATATCGGAATAATCCGAGTAGAGCATGGGTACTATAACATGAACGACTGATACTTCAATATTTTCTACGCCAAAGAAGATTTGAGGGACGGGTTTTTGTTCGTCTCCATTTTTTGTTTTAATACAATATACACAGTACTTTGCTTGGCCGAAAAACGCCATCTCCGACGAACTTTCTTCTTCTCTTTGCTATTTAGTCACATACAATGATACAAATACATTATATTCTGTACAAATTCACTCAAACACATTATATTTTTGTATAAATATATTTTTTTGCATGTATTTATATATTTCGAAGGTCTGTATTTTTTTAATACAGCTGAAACACTTGTACTCATGCATACTGTACATGCATTATGCATGAACATAAGATATAAATATGAAAATACACTAAATACAAATATTGAAATAGAACAGAATATAAACAGTGAATATATTTAATTTTAAAATACAGTGTAATACAATAAAATACACTGAATATAAATAGAAATACAGTGAATACAACCAATGAAATATACTGAATACAGCAGTAATAACATGTATTAGGAATGACTAAAATATTGTTAATATAAATACATTTGAATACACTGAATACAAAATAGTGAATACAGTAAATACAAACATTGAATCTAATGAATGCAACATTAAAAAACAAATATTGAAACACACTAAATACAACAGTTATAAACAACTGAAAAATTATTCTAATTAATTGAGTTGATAATGAGGCTGTTAGAATTGATTTTGTTGAGTTATATTAGGAGTGTATCACGCTAATTGATACTATTTTCGTTATTAGACCGCTGGACAAAACTATTTTTAAGGTGATTGTCGTCATGTATTCATGAATACATGACAAATACATGTGAATACAGTCGCGTACAATTGTAACCCTTGTTTTTAGGCGACTTTGGCTACTGTATTCATGAATACAGTAGTGCGAATGCAACGAATACACTACCGTACAGCTGAATAACAACTATAGGAATTAATTATGCATATAATAACTATAGGAAGTTAATAGCCACAAAACAATAGTGGTTTCCGAAAATTATTGTTAAGTCTAATATGTAAATTAGAAGGTAAAATAAAAAACTTACTATAATCAGTTGAAGAATAGTTGTAAAAGTTCTTTAATCAGTGCATACTGGATATAACATAAATTATTATTATTCCTCTGTCTTATGGGATGCATTTATCTTTTTAATTTGTTCCAAGAGAATTATATCTTTTTATATTTAAAAATAATTTAAATTTAAATTTCTTTTGTTTTCTTTAAAAAATGATTTATACTACAAAAATATATATGACTTATTGTAGATCTCAAATTTTAAAACTCTCTTTCTTAAATTTCATACCTAGTCAAACAACATCAAATAAAATTAGACTAAATGAGTGCTAATTATGTGTCAAGTCTAAGGCATTTTGAGTTCTTATTATTTTTTTTACTTTTTGTTGAACGTGAAAGAAGTTTCAATGGAAATTAGCGCACCGAGTTGCCCTTCAGGCAGTACCTTATTATAGCTGATACCTATTTTCTCCAAATGCATCCTTCAAAAATTGATATTGAGAAAGAAAGAGATCGGATACAGAGGCAGATCCAGACTTTTAAGCGTATGGGTTCCTATAATATTCTTATATTTTTTAATGAATTTTTTAGTATAAATATATGGTCTATGCAAAAGTTACTAGGTTCACGGGAACCCATACCGTGCTCTACATCCACCCCTGATCGGACAATGGATAACTCAAAAAGGACATAAGATTTTTTTGGATCCAAAATTAATGATTTGATATTACAGAGAGAAGTTTGAATTTATAATGATGTTGCTATCACGGGAATAGTTAAGCACACTTGATTCCTATATGTTGCTTTGTGGACATGAGAGTATGATCTTTGATTCTGTATGAACCTGTTAAAAAAAGAAAGTTGGAAAAGCATAAGACTTTGGGAGAAAAAAGAGCATTAATTTAAAAAAAAAAATCAAATGAAAAATCCGACCTACCGGATTCGAACCAGTGACCTAAGGATTATGCTGCTTGGCAACTACCAACTACAGTCCTCCGCTCTACCAACTGAGCTAAGGTCGGGATATGCTGTGTGTCTCACCGTTTTAATAATAGTATACTCTGATATATTTACTACTAGTTAGAGAGCCAAATAGTTTCTCCTTTGACGACATATTTCTTAAATATTTCTTCATGTTTTGAGTTACTAACTATTTTACTGCGGATAATTGATAAATCCAACTGGTTTATAACTTTAAATGTAATGGGATCAGATAAGACTTCAAGAGAGCAGTGCACATCCAATTTCACTTTGATCAACAACTTGATGGTATGACTAGATGGTTTAAGGTATTGGTTTACTAAATCGACATACAATACGTCATTAATTTAAAAAAAAAAAAAAAACTTCATGAGCTCGCAATCTTCAGTATTTCAGTTAATAATCAAATCATTGTCCTATGAGCTAAATGATATACAACATAACAAACAAAAATATTATACACAAGGATATGTATGGTTCACATTATCATAAACTGGTAACGGTAAAAAACTTGTGGGAAATAATAAGAAAGGTGGCGTAGAAGAGAAATATAGAGACCCAAAAGTCCAAAACATTGCCTTAAAAACAGAGAACCTAGGGGGGACAAAATATGTCATTTGGCCAATTTTTGGTCTGATTTTATTTTTACTCTGCAACCCGTGAATGTGACCACTGAATTATTGAATTACTACTCCCTCCTCTCTAAAATACAACATTAAAGTTTCTGACACATCCTCGCTGTCTCCAAGCTGGTCCTTTCCATATTCTCTCTCCCACTTAATCATTTAAGGGTAAATACTGCTTCCCATCTTCTTTACTAGATCTCAACATTCATTGAATCACAGGCTCTACAATTCTATTTCCCACAAATGCCAGTAATAAAATACAAAAATTCAACATCATTGAGTTTGAACATAAACCAGTGTTGCCAAACATAGGGATTATAAGCTCAAAGTGCAATTAAAGTTCAAACTTTATTTATGAAAAAAGGTGCAACTAAAATTTAAAAAAATTAAAATGCTTATGTATTTCAAGAAAAATAACAAATTCACTCCTAATATTTTATTTGTTATTTAGTACTGCCATATTCAAAATAGAACTCCTGGACATGCACATGCCTTACTGCCTTACATACATTAAGAAGCTTACACGAGACGAAGCGTCCTCCTTACGCTTTTCCAAGCTTCAAGGCTTAGATGCACCATATATGAGCCTTTGACAACACTAACATGAATATTGTATTATCAATTTCTTTCTTTCTATATTTGGGTAAAATTTCTACAATGATACAAGAAAGAAAAAGAAAAAAAAAAAGGAATTGTACAGCAAAGCAGAAGCATCCACACAACAGACCATGCACATTTTCTCAACCATCTTCTGTCTCTTCTTATTTCCCCCATACCATACCAATAAAAAAATAATATTCCTTCCCTTCACATGTACACAACATAAGCTAATGTCCACCCCAAACCGCATCTACAACCAATCAAATCTTGCCAACTCAGCTTACAATAAAATCTTTGTAATCTTGGACCCCACTTACCAATTTTCTGAATTCCTCCTAACTCTATATACATTAAAAGTGAAAAATATACAGAGTTGTCCTGTCTCTCTCTCTCTTCTTCTTCTGCTAAAAATAAAGAACAGTCCAATACATCCATAGCTGTCTCCCACATTTACACATTTCCACGTCGATTAAAGAGCCTTTCTTAGCTGGCAGTAGATTCTATCCCCATAATATGCTCCACACGTGGCAAAATTCTATTCGTTTGAAACTCTTGACCTGCGATTAGACTTATTCAACTTCTGTGTCAAAGCATGTAAAACCTGCCACGTGGCGTCTCCCTCTACCGTCCGATCATGGAACAGGAGGGACCGTGTAATTCTTGGGTCCCACAGTTTCTGTTGTATGATGCTTAAGTTCGTGGCAGCCACGTGTTCAAGAATTGAACCCAGCTTCCCGACGTCTTTCTCCGTCACCGTGACGGAGATATCCGCCCACGGCACGGCGGAGGAAAACGGCAGCTCGATGCCGTCGGCGATTATCACCGGTACACAGCCTAAAACGACCGATTCCACCAGTCTTGGACTCCATGGGGCCCACCCTAATGGACACAAACAAAACGTTGACCGTAATATCTCCGACTGGTAACCGGCAAACCTATGCCTCTTCAGGTAAAATCTCCGATCATTCCCATATTTTTGTAATATAACTGTACGAACTTTCCTGAAAATGAAAGGAGAAGATAAAACGGTAAGAGGTCATTATCGACATTTCACAATAAAACAGACCAAAAAGATCGTTCACGGAGATAAAAAAATTACTTGCTGTAATAACGTCCGCTGACATTTTTAGGGCGGACTTCCATTTTACCCCTAAAGAACGCGAAAATATCACGTTTACCATTGACGTCCGATGTGGCCAGCGTTTTCCGTACACTTTCCGGCGACACATACGGCGGAATAACAACATGTTCTGCTCTTTGACATGGATGATCATATTTTACACCAAACGTTTGTAATATAATTGAGTTTTTCAAAATTTCAGGTATCCCATCTGCCATAGCCACATCCTCCTATTAACAAAAACATATAAAGATCAATACTTTAACCTTAAAAGACCATAAAGATGAAAACTTTATCTTATTTTTCTAGGAAAAACAAAAAGATTTCTTCTTTATAGAAAAATAACAGAACAGTCAATGAAAGCTTCATTTTTGGACTTACCAACGTGTGAAAACAAGCTCCAAAATCATGAGAAGCGACAAAGACATGATCAGAACCTAAACTACGATTCCAAAATGGAAATTGTGAAGATATTAGCTCAACAGCCGAACCAATAAGAGAACGAGCATGACCAATAGCTGGGAATCCATTAACTGTGCTAAAATTGCAAGAAACATAAACGGGTACGAAGAAAAAATCAGCTTCCCACGGGTCAAATGTTCGGACATCGCTGTTTAACAAAGCTCTATGTATTGCTACCTCAGATGCAAACAAATGGTTGCTACATCTTTCATTTGATAACCAATCACTGTTGTATTTTGTTGGTAACTCGTAAACGTAAATCTTTAAACCATTTAACGAATCTGAAACAAAAAAAAAACAATGAACATATTAACATTAATGTAAGCTAAAATGGAAGATTAATAATGTGAAGTAATTAATTACCTTGGTGGTGTTTAGGGTATTGAAGAATAGCTGAGGAGTTGATTGATTCAATGAGAGCACGTGAAGCTTTAGATTGAGAAACGGTAGTTTTAGAAATGAAGGATATAGTATTATTAGGCTTGTGATTAAAGAGAAAAGAAGCAAAGAAGTAAAAAGAAAGTGAAAACCAAAGAAGCCATTTGAAATATCGGTAACAAAAACTCTTCTCTGATGTTCTAACATTTCTGCCATTATTATGTAATAGCCTCATTCTTACATAGAAACCTCTGTTTCTGTTGTTGGTTCGTTTTGGTTCTAACATTTGTATTTTGTTTCTCCCTTCTTAAACCCCTCGAAAAGAGAAATGGTGTAGCTGGTAAAATGGGACTGTCGTTTTTGGTATTGAAGTGGAGATGAAGAAACAGGGGATGGTTTGTTAAGAGTTCGTTTTAACTTGAAGAATAAAGAAATGAACGAATATGTCACAGAAAAAGAATTGACACCTAAAAATAATTAAGTATTGGGGTTTGGTTCAGTTTCTGTTTCCCTAGGAAAAAAATAATAATGGAGGTCATGAAGTTGCAGAGAGAGAAAGTGAGAAGAGAGAGAGAAAGGGTTTAATACAGAAGGGTCACATTGTGATGGAGCAGAATGAATAGCGGCATGGCTCTCGGTTTCGAAGTTGGCTTTTAATATTATGTTCCAAGTTTAAATACCAAAATAACCTTTGAATTTTGAATATATATATATTTTTAATTCTATTAGTTGTCTGACTAATCCGAATTCGTGTTAAACGTATCATTTATAGCTATTAATGAAAGATTCATCGAGTTCCCGCCTGCATTTAAAACTTATTAAAGGATTAAGTGTTCGTTTCTTGTCAATATCATTTTCATATTTAAGGTTCGAATTCGAAATCTATAATTAAAAATAAAATAATTATATTTATTCATCACAACTTTTGATGTTAAGAAAATATGGGATGAATCAACCTTAGAATATTTTCAACTATAATGTCGGGTGGAAGTGTAATTTACAAGTTGGAAGGTCAAACACTCATGTTTAGTTGATAAGTATTGATAAAGGAGTTATATTTATGATCTCATTTATTAGCCATTTCACATAGTTGGAATTAATACTACTAAATTCTTGACAGATATAGTAAGATCCTAGTATTAAAACTTGGACGGTGAGATCCAGATCTATACAAGTAACAAGTGTGATATTTTGAAAATTGATCTAGCCTTTGAACGTTACTCTCTAGTTTAGTCAAAATTATCAACTTGTTTCTACAGATTTCACATAAAGTGTGAAATATTATATAAACGTGTAATTATTATTCAAAGTCTGAATTTGAGGGCTTTGGAAACTTCTTAACTAGTACTATATATTTATGGTATTTTCTTCATCTAGAGATATTATGTTGTTAGATTTGATTTGCATACTTTTTACAAAAAAATCAAGAATATGAGGTTTTGAAATATTTTCTCAATCTCAAAGTGGAAACAAACGGAGTACATTTGATATCTTTGTTATTTTTGAAATTAGGAGCATTAGTACTACTCACTTCACCTCATCTAGACATTTTTATGTGGTTAGGTTTGAGGTAGATTTTAGAAATTTTGTTCAGATTTATATCTATATTAAAAAGCTATTAAATGTATATAAATATTTAGCTCAGAATTCAATCCGATAGTTTCGTCATTATTTATGATCGTTGTAGGCAAGTTCAAATCTAGAACCTGCGTCTACTCTCTTCTTGTTGGTGTTTATGCTTTAATGAGAAACATTTTATTTTTCTAAAATTGAATTAAGTTGACTCGAGAGAAAATGTTATTTAAAAAAAAACAGAGAGGGGATGAGGGTAAAGTAGGAAACTAGAAAACGATAAAATCTAACAAAAAAGTTTGAGAAAGAGTGTGTCTGAAAAATGACTTTGAGAGACCAGCCAGTTCAACTTTGTTTTTTGTTTTTTTTAATTATCTATTTCAAGTGTTGTACTTAAAAAGTTGATATAATTCCATACCCAGAGACAGTGCACATGAGAAAGGCAGTTACAAAAAAGCTAAATTCACTGGCGAATTTTATTCCATAACATCGTTACTATATTTGATTTTTGTATTTGTTCTTGTCTTTTAGGTTGTCCAAGCATAGCAGAAAAATTCCTTTACTTGTCCTCGTGCCCTGTTATTAGTTGTTAAAAAGATAACTTTAAACGATTTTTTGAAATTAAAATTATACATAAATTAATATGCATTTAAAATTAAAGCTTTCTTACTGAAAAAATACAGTGTAAGTACTGTATTACAGGTAGCACATATCAAATTGATCTCATCTTTCATGCTCTCCTGATCTGACAAACTGATACAAATTAGGCCAAGCAAATGAGAATTGCTACAAATTCGTAATCTTGTATGACAAAAGCTTGGAGATAACTGAAGAAAGAACAATTCGAGCTCTAATGGCGGATCATATCGCACTGTTGGAAAGAGAGAGAAGCAGTTATGTGAATGAACCTTCTAGAAAGAAGGAGCTTACTTTTCATTACTTCAACTCATTAAAAAAAGAAAAATACAGAGTTAATGTCTTATTTATAGTAGTTGTACAATTGCTCAAGAACTAGCTAACTATTTAATGCTAATACAAGTATAAAAGAATAAAATAATAAATAATCTCAACACCCTCCCTCAAGTTGGAGGGGAGCACCTCACATCCAACTTGCTAAGAAGTGCAGCATGTTTGATCCCTGTCAAAGACTTGGTCAAGATATCAGCTAGCTGCTCATTAGTAGAGACATGATGAAGAGAAATTAGTCCTTCCTGTTGTTGATCTCTCACAAAGTGACAGTCCACTTCAATATGTTTTGTACGTTCATGGAACACAGGGTTTCTTGCTATGTGTAAGGCAGCTTGACTATCACAGAAGATGGGAATAGGTAAGGTTAATGGAGCAGTAAGCTCATTGAGAAGTCTTGCCAACCATACAAGTTCACCAACCACCATTCTAGCTGACCTATACTCAACTTCTGCAGATGATAATGAAACAGTAGACTGCTTCTTAGACTTCCAATTGTTGGTATTACTGTGTTCAAAATCAGAAAATTATAGAAGCAAACAAACGTTAGTTCAATAAACAAATCGTAAAATAATTCCGAGCCCACTGAATGCACAATGTGTCCTTAAGGAATTTAATCCCCTCACTGTTGCCCAAGGTATACAGATTAATTCCTCCCAGGATAGAACGGAATAACTATTCTATGATATCGGTACTTCAAATCACAGAACTTCAACGAACTCAACAAACGGAGCAAATCACACTTGACACTTATGTTTATTTAGAAAATAATGCAACAATGTATAAAAGAGGGGAGAAGATTTCAGATTTTCCATGTCTGATTTCATGTCTAAAAAATGAGGCCAAGCCTCTAAATTTATAGACAAAGGAAGGGTGATATGGAGAGGTGTAATCTAAAAGGTGCCTCTTCCATTTCCCATTCACACCCCTTAATAAAAAACGAAACACCAACTGATAGGGCTATTACCAAGTAGCACAATGTACCCACTGACTGATTTTCTTAATTGAGAGCAAGTAGCCTAGTCTGAATCACAAAATTCCTTCACACCATAATCTGCAGTGTTGTTGAGGAAAATGCCCAAAGATGGGACACCTTTTAAGTATCTTAGGACATGATATGTTGCCTTTAAATGGGGTTCCCTGGGACTTTGCATGAACTGACTGAGATGTTGTACACTATATGCAATATCCAATCTAGTATTAGTAAGAAAGTTAAGTTTGCCAATCAGCTTCCTATAATAGGAGGGATCAGCTAGTGGAGCTCCCTCATCGGCTTTTAGTTTCACTGAGGGATCCATAGGAGAGGCCATAGATGGACAGTCTATACAACCAAACTCTCTTAGAAGATCAATAGTGAATTTCCTTTGTGACATCAGGACCCCTTGCTCTGTATATTGAACTTCTAGTCCTAGGAAGTAATGAAGTCTCCCTAGGTCCTTTATCTTAAAAGTATCATGTAGGAAGGTTTTCAGGGACTCAATCTCTTGCAGATGGGTACCAGTGACAAGGACATCATCTACATACACAGCTACAAACACTACTGACCCTTCACTCTTTTTATAGAATAACGAATAATCAAGCATTGAATGAGTGTACCCCCTTGAGCACAAAGCTTCAGTTAATTTCTCATACTATTGTCTACTTGCTTGTTTAAGCCCATACAAGCTTGTTCAATTTGCACACTAAGCCTGGTGAATCCACTACTAGGCCTGGTGGTATCTCCATATACACTTCTTCATGGAGATCCCCATGAAGAAAGGCATTATTTACATCTAACTGTAACACTTGCCACCCCCTTTTGACTGTTGTTGCTATTAAAGTCCTAACAGTTGTCATTTTTACTACAGGTGAGAAAGTTTCTGTGTAATCTATCCCAGCTTGTTGTGTATATCCCTTAACTACTAATCTAGCTTTGAATCTCTCCACACTCTCATCTGCCTTATGTTTGATCTTATATACCCATTTACACCCAATTGCCCTTTTTCCAGTTGGAAGAGGAACTAGATCCCGGGTTTTATTTGCATACAGTGCTTGGAATTCTTGAGTCATTGCTGCTTGCCAGACAGGTTTTACAACAGCTTCCTCATATGAGCTAGGTTCACATTCATGTGGACTAGTTCCTATCAATTGCTGACAACTGGAATGTATTTCATTAGGTGAGTTATCGAGAGGTTTGGGAGCAGATGTGTTGAAAGAAAAGGACTGTGTGCTTTGACTATCATTTGGAGAAGTTGATTGGTTTTGATGAGTTTGCTGGAGTCTGGGAAGTGCACACTTATAATCATTAAGATAGGTAGGTACTTTCAAGGTTCTAGAGGGTCTGTTCTGATTTGGGATTGAAATTCCTTGATCCTGGATTGTAATAGCAAGGCTGTGAGGTATATCAGAAGGAGTATTATCTGGAGAGTCAACAATTGGAAAGTTTCCTGATGTTTGGCTTCCTAAGGGTAAGTGAGAAGATCTGGAGTTGTCATTATAAGGATTGGATGTGGGTGAGGAAAGCTCTTGCCTGGGTAGGTCCCCAGGTGACACTTCATGGTGAGCATTATAATTTGCAGGATGTGGAACACTACCTATATTACTGGGAGAAAACAAGTCATCTGACAAGTATGATTTCATTTGGGGAAATGAAGGAAAAACCTTGTTTGACTCAGTGAACATAGCAAATGGGAATACATTCTCATGGAATACTACATCTCTGGAAACACTTATCTTCTTAGTGGCTAGATTTAGTACCTTGTAGCCTTTTGTCCCAAAGGGATATCCCACAAAAACATGGGGAGTAGCTCTTGGTTCAAACTTATCTTTGTGTGTTTTGAGAGTGTTAGGGAAGCATAAACAGCCAAAGCTTCTGAGATGAGAATAGCTTGGCTTTTTCTGGTACAGAAGTTCAAAGGGACATTTTGATTTGAGTGATGAAGAAGGCAGTCTGTTTATCAGGTAGGTAGAGGTCAGAATACATTCTCCCCAATACTGCATGGGTAACTTAGACTGATAGAGTAGTGCCCTGGTTGTTTCTAACAAATATTTGTGTTTTCTTTCCACCACACCATTTTGTTGTGGTGTGTATGGACATGTTCTTTGATGCATAATGCCCTTTGATTGTAAGA